ATCAAGCAGACTAATAATTGCATCGTTGGTACTTTTTTGGGAGCGGAAGCCAAACTGACAGGGACTTAGTATGTTGAATATTTGCTCGTTAGTGACAAATTAAGTGATTTTAAATTATTAAATTGTAAACATTTATGTTTTATAATAAATATTGAACTATTAACATTCCCCTTGAAATATGACATTGTCAAGATACCACTGTTCAGAATATTATTCTGCACAAGAGTGACGCTGGACTGGTCCTCGGCGCTCCTCTCGTCCTCAAAAGACTTCTCGTCACCTTCCTCGCTCTTCCTGTCTCCATCTCTCCAAGGTACTCCTCGAGTGCCTGGAGTATAAGTCTCAAGACGAGTCTTATAGAATGTCAGGCGGTTCCCAGCTCCTTCCTCCACGCCCTCTGCAGCTCTTCGCTTTGATGTCCAAAGGGTTTGGAAAGGATGAGGGAGGTAGAGGGATGGGGAGGTGAAATTCTGAAAGAGGATGCGGGTATAGAGAAAGAGAAGGAGTTGTAACAGGCAGAACTGAAGAGGTTGGAGCTGTAGAGGTAAAAAACCTCTACAGCTCCAACTTCTTCAGTTCTGCCTGTTACAACTGTATGTTTACCTTGAGATTTATAAGCTTATAACTCTTATCGTAACCTCCACCTCAGACGACCACAGCCAGACAGTAAGGAAGGCAACTAAGATCGTCTCGGGGTACTAAAGAGCATCTACAACGGAGGGATAACTTAACACGACATTGCCTCTCACTACCTGTCTGTCACGTGACACCAACCTCTGATGTTGATGCCTCTCAAGTCTTCCTACTTGGGAACCTGTACACTGAACATTGCTACCTTCAACACTGCCAGTGTATCCTCAGGATGGTTATAGGGTCCACAACTAGTCACTCAATGTGTATGGGGGTCCACTACCGCCCACAGGTTGGGTATGAGATCCATTTCCGCCCACAGGATGGGTATGGGGGTCCACTACTGCCCACCTGTGTGGGGTAATGGACCCATGCTCATCCTATGGGCGGTTGTAGGTTCCATACCCATCCTACTGATGATAGTGGACCCCTTACCCAGCTTGTGGATGGTAATGGACCCCATACCCCACCCTGTGGGCAGTAGTGAACACCATATCCATCCTGAGGGAGGTAGTGAACCATATACACATCCTCCTGGTGGTAGTAGACCCCATACCCATCCAGTGGGTGGTAGTGAGCTCCATACCCATTCAGTGGGCGGTAGTGAACCCCGTACCCATCCAACAAGTGGTAGTGGACCCCATAAACATGTGACTTGTTGTGGAAACTTATTTATCTTCTTTGCAGTAGTGTACCCCATAGATATTCCAACGTTACATCGTTTTCCATAGACGTTCCTACAATTCCTTCTCTAAGATTTTCAAAGCATACACAATTGTATAGTGTTGTTTAGCAAAAACATAATTATGTGTAATAATTTGTAGTGCTTATAATTTACTGAGAAGCAACAAGATTTTTCCTAAGTGGTGGAGGCTGTCAACTCTGTCCTGGTCGAGACGAGTTTGTTACATGCTAGGGCCAGGTTTTTTCTTGTAGTGCTGTTGCCATTGTGCTCTACTTCGTTGGGCACAGAGACAATAGCAGTTTTTTTGTGTATTTTGGCTGTAGCTGAGACCTGTGTCGTTGGTGTTGCTTCGGCTGTTGCAGGGGTTGTGTCTGGTGCAGCAGTCTGGTCAGTCATTGTTTTCGGTCTTCTTTTCCTTGACAGTCCTTCATATTTCTTTCGTGCTCCAGTGGAAGGTGTTGAGGTTTCCAAAGGTTGGCGGGGTTGGTCTGGGGTGGAGGCAGACTGGGTAGAGGTTGTTGCCTTGATTCACTGTTGTCTATTTTCTTGGAATATTGCTGCCCTCAGGCGGCTCGGAGGCAATCAAAGATGGTAATCGATTCCCTCCTTACGAACAAATGATTTAGCTAAATTTGGAGCACTCTGTGCTCAGTCCCACAAGGTCTCCGTGCCATCCTCTGTATTCCACAAGGTCGAATTACTGATCTCGCCCAGCATGCAAACCCCACAACAAGATGACTAACTCCCGAGTACCTACTCACTGCTAGGTGAACAGAGCATTAGGTGAAAGGAAATGTGCACAACCATTTCTGTCCCGTCCCGGGATTCGAACCCTAAAGTCTCGATTGCGTGTCAAGAACGAACCCGACCATACTACTGGGACCCTTAAACCACAGGTTCCCGGTAGTAACTCCTGTATATGGAAGCACAGGGTGCATGTAGTGGTAGTATTGGACCCAATACCCATTCTGTGGGTGTTATGGTCCCTATTCCCATCCCATGAGGGGGTTGTGGACCCTATATCCATTCTGTGAACGGTATTGGTCCCCCATACCCATCCTGTGGGCTGTAGTGTAGTGTACCCTACTCTCTACATTTTTTATAATACGTAATGTAAGATATATTTTCTTAAACTTGTATAGAGCATATTCTGTTGTGTACAGTATATTATAATTTGTACTACCTGTATGCCAATTTAAATGTTTAGATAATTAATAGAATAATTATTATAATTTACCGAGAACTATCAAGGTTCCTCAAAACTAAACTACGAGCCTTCAATAGGAATGTAGCTGATCGAAGATATTCAAACAAGATGGAAAATATTACGCAAATTTCTCCTTCAGAAACTTGTGTAAGTTATCATTCAGAACCTTATATACCTCATATGTCAGACTAATACTGAAATATGCAGCTCCTGCCTGGAATCTGCATCGAGTCAAACACAAACAGAAGTTAGAAAAGGTTCAGACGTATGCTACCAGGCTAGTCCACAAGATGAGGTGAGCTATGAGGAAAGATTGCTGGAACTGAACCTCACGACACTGGAAGACAGAAGTTAGGGGAGACATGATAACTATCTATAAAATTCTCAAAGGAATTGACAGGGCAGATAAAGATAAACTGTTTAGCATGGGTGGGACTCAAACAATGAAGGACAGGTGGAAACCTAGTTCCCAAATGAGCCACAGTGACGTTATAAATAACTTTTTTAGTATCAGAGTAGTTAACAGATGGAATGCATTAGGCAGTAATGTGGTGGAAGCTGACTCCATACACAGTTTCAAATGTAGATATGATTGAGCCCAGTAGGCTCAGGAATTCGTAAACCAGTTGATTGACAGTTGAGTCCAGTTTACAGTCCCCCGTGGCGTAGTGGTAAGACGCTCACCTGGCGTTTCACGAGTGCTTTGGCCTAGGTTTGTATCCTGGCCAGGGAGGATTTACTGGGTGCAAATCCTTAACTGTAGCCTCTTAACCCAACAGTAAAATGGGTATCTGGTGGTTAACACATTTGGCAAGGTCATATTCCGGGGAATATTAAGATTAAGAACTTGCCCGAAACGCCATGCATGCTAGTGGCTGTACAAGAATGTAAGAACTCTTGTACAGGTATATATAAATAAATAAAAAAAAAAAAAATAGAGGTGGGACCAAAGAGTCAAAGTTCAACCCCCATAAGCACAACTAGGCAAGTACACCAGAAGAGGGAATGGAAATTTACAATTATCATTCAAATTTGAGCAGACTATTCTGCTGGCCACGGCAATGAGACGGGTACTATGGGACGTACTATAGTATGTGAGGAAGGGTTGATGCCTGGTGATAGCTAATAACTGTATATCTACCACAGGGGAAACTGTGAACATTAGCACCATAGGAACTATGAGCATTATGCGACAAGTACTATGGTATACCGAGGACAGGTTGGATCATTGTAAAGGTGGGGGATTAAAGTGCACCTAATTATTGTGGCTCAGTATACCAGACATGTCTGAAAATACTCTCAATACACACAGCCGATTTCATTCTGTGTATGCATGTTTTATTTTGTGTTATTTAACAATGGTTTACTTGTATTTGTATGTGCATGCATCTGATTAGAACTATTCTCCTTTGAGGACTGCAGTGATAAGAAGTATAAAATAGGGGTCAGAGAAGTATGAGGTTGATTCTTTGGTAATCCTTATCATTCAATTTTACAACCCTTTGTCCAATCAGTCCTGATTTAGATCTCGTACAACATCCTTTAAAATAAAGACAATTCTGCAGTGAAATAGCATTAAGTACAAAATAAAACCTTGTTAATGAAAACTAAGTATTCCCATGCAATTGTGCATCCCCATGGACTCCTGGAATGATGTAGTGTACATTGTAAACAATAAATTTGATGACGAACCATACCAATCAATCTGCTAGATATAACAGTTGCACTGCACAACCAATTTACAGCACGGTCCAGGGCACATCTTGTCAAAGGGAGGTCTCCTCAAGTGTAGCTCAATCCTCAGTGAGGTAAGACCATAAACTGTGAGCCATCACTATGGCATTTGTACAATATTTACCTCGATAACCTCCGTACTGTCTGCTATACTGTATATAAATTGGAGATATTGCGTGGTCAGGAAAAATTTGTAGGATAGTACAATTATTGTATCTTAAGCCATTTTTCTATCAAATATTTATCAACTAAAATATTAACTACAAAGTTTATATCTTCTTTTTTTTTAACATAGTAGTAGTTCAGTATATGTATAGCCAATTTATTTTTTATTTTTGTACAGTATTGTTATATCTCATTATACTGAAAAGTAGAAATTCTTCTGAGTAACTGGCATGATTATCATATCACGAATCTCTGATAAAACATGCATTTAGTTTTGTGGTAGGCAAGAACAAATATGTTGTAGATCTACATTTGTAGGCAATTTGCAACATTATCCCAATACACTGTCAAAACTTAGAGCTCAAAGAGTCAGGAATGATGCTAGAAAATAGTGGATACATGTACACAACACTTATTCTTTTCCATTTGTACGCTATTTTTTAAATTGATACTGTACGTTAATTTTGTTTCTACCTGTACAGCTGTACAGCATGTAGCATTGACATTCTTTTTAAAGAGTATTTTAAAATAAGGTTAATCATATTGTGACTAATATGACTGAAGAAAAAATTTAAATTGTCAACTTTCATTAACCTTTATTTCCTTACCATAACTTTCCTCCAAAGTTGCTTCAGTGACTATGGCATTGACCATGAAAAGTACAGTACTTGAGAAATCATTTTTAGTACCTGCCAATTTTTTCTGGAAAAAAACAAAAAGAAAACTGTAATCAACCAATGTATGTAAATGAAAACAAATTCTTCTAGCAGTGCTCAAAGCTCCGCAGTGTGAAAGCAGCAAACACTGTTCACAGCATTTCATCCTAAAAAAGCTTCTGACAAGACTGCAAATCTTGACTAATATTCAGACATTATTTTAGAGAAGATCTACCATATAATCATTATTGTCTTGAATAGGTTGACCAATACCCTGCTGATTCATCGTTTGTTGTCCCATTCCTTGTTGGCCTATGCTTTGCTGACCTATAGCCTGACCCATAACCTGCTGGCCTTGACCAGCCATCTGCGGCCTTATTCCTTGTTGCTGCATCATGATGATATGTTGTTGCTGCTGCTGCTGTTGCTGTTGCTGGACTTGTTGCTGTTGCTGGACTTGTTGCTGCTGCTGAAGTCTTACCTGCTGCTGAGAGTTCAAAAACAATTATCAATAGGCAGAATGAATACATTCAAGTTACTTACATAAATTCCCAATGATACACCATTACTAACAAGAGTTACACAAGGCACTACTCATTCAGGATTATTCATCCTAAAGTTACATTTCTCTATTACCCACACTATATGTAGTGAATATGCTGAATGCAGTAAGTATGAGCTTACATCTATAACAAAATTCTCATTCAAAATCATAATTAAAAAAAAAATTATAGAAACGAGAAGGCAAGTTTGCAAGACATTTGGCCTGACCTACCTGCTGTTGCAGAAGTTGTTTGAGCCCAGAGGTCGGCATAGTAGGCTGCATAATTCGTGGCTGGCCGAGAGGAGTGTTTGACCCTGGCACCTGCTGCCCAATATTCATCGTCATGCCTGGTCGTTGTTGTAATTGCTGTTGCAGCTGCTGGCGTATTGCTGTATGATGCTGCTGTTGGTGCTGCTGCTGCTGTTGCTGTTATCAAACATAAGCAATTTTTTCATAAATTAGAAACACCATGCTCATGGAATGAGAAATTACAGCAGCCTAATATAATATTGTGTTTTCATAGTTAACAATGAGCTACATTAAAGACAAGAAAACTAGATATATTTTTACATCGGGGAGATTGCAAAAATTCTTCCACAACCAGTATATTTCAGTGTACTGAATATATGGGGGGTGCATCTAACTATGCAGCTAAAAGGTTAGATTATACATTTGTGATTCCGTGAATGTTCAATTTAGTCTTAACTTACAAATTGTTTAATATTTTAAATAACTTGGTAATTATTAGCTGCCTTTCAAGTCAATTTCCTTATTTATTGTCTTCCTGTACTACTACCTTTATTTTATAAAGAATGCTATTATCTTTTACCTTTTTTTAACATGCACATTTTCCATGTACAATATACACAGTATTTGTACACGTCTCCATTATATAAAAGCAGAGCAACATTTTCAAAATGTCAACACTTACTATAAAAATGTAACATGCCTGACTAACAACACTGCGATGAAGTCTGTTTAAATCACCAAATGGGCGCATCCGATCCCACGATCGTCGTCGCCCCTAAATCAACACAACATAAATCACCAACCTGATTTTGGCGCATCTGAATCATATCTGGTTGTTGTTGTTGCTGTTGCTGCTGCTGCTGCTGTTGGATGTTTAGAGTTGGTCGTGTGGTGAGCTGCGTAGCCAACACCGACTGCCCAGTTCCCATCTGCACATTAACTGGTCCAACGGGTCCCTGTTGGCCCATGCCTTGTGAAACAGTTCCGCTCGTCATTTGTGACAACTGTCCGCCTCCGAGAATGGTATTACTACCTGAAACAAATATTGCACAATCAAATTTTACCTGAAGTTCATAGCTTATATATCGTGGCAACCGCATAACCAAGCTTCTATAATCTCTCTCTCTCTTCAAATACCAAATATTTTTAACACCATCAAAGCATTTCCTCTATTTTGATTAGAAGTCTGAAAGAGATAATATTTTCTACCAATTTTGTTTCGTATGTAGCAAAATTTTAAACTATTAATTTTACCATTTTAAATTTTTTAATGCTGTGTATAAACAACAATGCCTATAGTCTCTTAATAACACTGCAGATAACAGATAACTAATATATTGCTGTGCTTTGATGCTGAGAAGCAACTAGAGTAATTATTAAAAAGATGGCACAAGGCCAGGAAGGCTATTTAGCACCGCCCGTGTCACTGGATATTCAATAGATCCTAAATATCACTCAGAGATACCAATACGCAAGCAAAAAGCACAAGACGAGCATTGTGAAAGGTACAAGACATAACAAGACCTCATTGTTGGCAAATCCAATACAGTACCTTTTGCCAATGCTCGTCTCATCAATATGAGAGCAGACTCGCAAATTATTCAAGAATTTATGGTCGTCACATATCTTTCAAGTGTTAATTATTACTTGAAAATCATTAACCCATAAAAATTATGCATATACAGTACAGGGGCTGTATATAGGAAATGTTCGGACCTATTTAGGATCATTATAATCTCCAAAACGAGATTAATATAAAAATACAATTAAACAACAAATTAATACAAAAATATAGTTAGATAACAATGACTGAATAAAAAGCAGGCACCGAACTCCAAGCAAAAAAAGGCTCCTAGGGTGCCAAAAACGAAGCCAACACAAGAAGCTTAAGTTTCTTCTCACGTTTCCTACGAGTGACGGTTAAGAACATGCTAATACGGGATACAGGGTTACAGATACTGTAATTCAAGTGACACACAGCTCAATATAAGAGCCAGTTGATATGTCCATTCACTGACATACTGCAACCGTTTACCTTTTTATATACAATATTTGATACTATATTTTACCCTCCTAGTTATGGGTGGGTGAGCTTATGTAAACCCTTTCCCAAAATTAAACTTAGTTCAAGCAAAGACACTTATTAGAAGAATAACTTTAAATATCGTGTTTAAAACAAACAAAATATCCACCATTTCATTCAAAGTGTCATAGTACATTAAAAAGTTACTGCTTGCCTGCACTGAGACAAGAGTACTCATGAATACAGAATGGTATTGCCAAGCAAGAGTACACCGCATCCTCAAAAATGAACCCAATCTGGATTTCGGAATAATTACCCCCAATAATTACCCTCAATCGACTTGAGAATGGTCCAGGACGGACCAAAACGTCGTCATCCCTTCACCTAGTGTGTGGTCTGATCAACATAATTACCCTTTTTTTTTGGCCGTTTATCACCAAATTGAGATTTTTCTCATAGGAAAAGAAAATTTATGCAATGATAAAATGACAGCAACCAGCAAAAATGACAAGCAATGCAAAAATGAGAGGCAGGGAAAGTGCCTAAAATGACCTTGTGGAGTGCTATTCTTCTTGTGGTACAGGTGCCATATATTGCCCGACTAAAGGTTGCGAGCTGTCATAGCTTGCAAGATCACTTATGTGACACAAAACAAGTGATGCTGGAAAGCACACAAAGATGACAACCAAGAGGCACTGAGAATACAGCTAAAGAAAAAGTACAAAAGTTTACCATGGACAAATGAATCAATATGGTCTACCAACTATACATTAGACATCAATTCACTGTATCCATAGTTCACAAATCACTATTTACGTCAATAAATTTAGACCACAGGCAAGGTGGTTCACACACCTCGCCCTCAAATGTATAAGTAAGTGGTTTTAGGCAACTGGGCCTCATACAAGCAGCTAATCCACTACAGTCCTGAATATAACTATTTCACTTCTTTTTTTTACATGCATTACACAGTCAGAAAATGAATGCATCCAGATATTAGATAAAAAATAAAAAGCAGCTCAAAAAGCGTGTGTATACGAAGGATGTAATACTTTTGGCTTAAGGAAAATTAGAAAGCCAAGTATGGAGATGGATCAATCAACCTCTGATGATCTGATGGAAGACCATCAAAAACTTCAAGGTAATTTCCCAATTTAATCAGCTACAGCTACCAATAATTATTCCAGCATGTTTGATTTTATGCAAATTGTCAACTGGCTTATTAAAATGTTACTTCATTAGTTGGCACAATTTCTAACTCGTGTTAACACAAATGATCTGTTTGAGAAATTAAGACGACACATGCAGCTTAATTATTTACGAACATCCCTTACCACGACTATAGTATATTCTCAAATAAGCTGAATCTACCTGTTGCCCCTGAAATCCTCTGAATCAATGCAATATTATGCAGTACTGTACTTGGTACAGTATATTCAACTGCTCAGCAAGGTAATAGGTTATTTCCTTTTTTCACCTTTATTAAATGTATGTGTAGAATTCTATGAAGCCAGTTTATCATCATGGATATGTACTGTAATTTTAGTTTACCAAATAACAGATAAATAGATGGCATACTGTACTTCGCTGCCGTTGTCAGAACACTCATCTTTACGAATTTCAAATCTGTATGACAAATGTGCAAAACATTAAATTACAGTATGCATAAATTATCATCATTTAACAATTCCCTAGCATTTGTAGAAATCCATGATGAAATTGGATACTTGTATGGAACAAATATTAATAAGATAGAAAACCAACTTGGCTCACAGACACAAGTCTAGTTCGTTACTGCCCGAAACGCATTGCGTAATAGTGGCTTTAGGCATTGTATGTACTAGCTCTATCTATATATTGATCCATTAATGTAACATCACTTGTATGTATGTACCTTACCTGAATAAACATATTTATTTATTTATTTATATTATCATACCCTCATTTCTATGTTCATGCAGTAGAAAGGCCCCAGTATGCAACTGAACTTTGTATATTCTAATACATGACACAAAAGATGCTCTTAATTCATTGCACATTGAACTGGAAACGCAGGACTGAATTTTTTAAATACATTACAAAATTATATCCGCTACAATTGCATATAATATACCTGTATATAAAAACAAAAATATATATATTTAAAATATATAGATAAATATGATGGAATTTCAATGATACCACAATTTGGCACACGCTACCTAATTTCCAAGGTTTGCCAGAGTTATTTATAAATGCTACATTCGTAGGTAATTGTTAGCAAATAATGTACTTTATCATAAAAATTATCAAAGATAAAGCTTATGCACAGAAAAAAAAAATTGTCCACTGGTCTACAGAAGAAAGGGTTCAATATTCTTCAATACATATTGACTGATGATAGGAGATTTATGTTTAATATCATCTCATGATCGATACATGTGCACCAGTATTTTTTGTACAATAATACGCAATTTGGATTATAACCAAGGCATGAAAATATCACATTATAATAAATATAGGACCAAAAGTGTTTCATAATGTCAAAAGTGAAACTCCTATAAAAGTTTTTTCACAATTATGCAGTTCAGGGCGAGTTCACCGCATAGGGGTAACTAGGAACCTAACCCTACATGTTAGCAAGCATATATGACTACTTTATTAATAACAAGATTGAGGACTCTGGTACAAAAAAATGTACAAATAACTGTGTAAATAGAACATGAGCACAAGGAATACCTTGACTAATGGGTTGACTCAGGGCATGGTTTAGTTGAGGGTTCTGTTGGATGATCATGCTCTGGGAAGACATGACGTTCAAACCAGAACCTGTCAGAGAGAAGGCCGGGGAGTGTCGTCAAACCCTGCCCTTTCTCTAATGCATGCATGCACTTCCACCCTTCAAAACTGCTCCAACACACAAAATCAAAAGCAAATATTTTTTTTTTAACTACAATATTGTTATCAATACAGTGTGAGTATTTACTAAAAAAAACACAACCGATTATTCAAACTTTTTCCTCAAACTTTAAAAGGTTACAGTTCAAAATAGTTTCAGTGCTTTGGTTAGTCGAGTTAGAAAAAAGTCTACAATAAAACAAAACAAGGCCGAGTCAATATGAAAAGCATCTTTCCTGGCAGAATCATTCACTTACACCATTTTACAAGATCCGTTGTATTTCACGAACAAGTTTATCAGCAGGCAGGGAAATCGACATTCTGGCATAGGTGACATTTTTCAAAGAGTACCTAATGGATCATTATTGGTGCTAGGGAATTGAGAAAAAGTTTATACTGCCCAGACTAATAGAAGTACTAGTACTGTACTGTATAGTCATAAAATGGCATAACCTTTCCTAACCCTCTCTCAGTATCACAAGTGACTGATAAGAGAAGACAACTGTTAAAAGTTTATTTGCCTGCTTGGCTATTTGTACTCACTGAGCTTCCTAGGACCAATCTGTTTCATATATTCTGATGCACTGCAGAGGCAGAATATCATGGAGAGGGACCAGGAGCAATGGAACAATTCTGCTCAGAAAAGGGATTTTTATATTGACCTAAAAATCCTAATTTTGAGCTATCACATTCAGTTGTCAAGTAAGCATCTTAAACGGTGTAAAATAACAAAAGAACAGGTAGGACTCACCTGTGTTATCAAGAGGTATTTAAGGATGCTAAAGGGTGCAGGGAACGCCCACCCGGCACACAGACCAGCTAAAGGCACCAGCACTGCTGCCAACAATGAAGAAACTCATGGGTATAATCTACCCAATGCCATACACTGGTGGTGCCAGCAACACTCCCAAAGGAATAATTAGTCTGCCAGAAACTCTTAGTTTTGACCTCTCGGTAGCACATTGCAGAGAAGAATGCCTTTTATGTAGTGAATTCATATAATTCTTGTGGCTGAAGATAGGAGTTTAAATTAATTGAATCTGTACAGCTGGGAAATGCGACGTTGAACACGGGAGATTCAACCTAGGGTTAGGAAACAAACCACCTGATGATACATGATGGTAAGCAGCCAAATAATACAAAAGCAAAGTGGCAGGATTTTAGGAATGATGCACCCCAAATGCAAACAAAGCCTTAACAACTATGGGACCTCCAAGAAGTGCAAATATAGGTCTTAGCGAGGAAACTAAGGGTTGGGATAGAGCATAAAATATGACTACAATTAATAACAATTAAGACCTATGACACATCAAGGCATGCAGCTAATTAACTAGAGGTCCTACACCAAGAGTTTTAAGTCATAATGGCAAGATCAAAGAAGGAAAAATCTGAATCCTAGTAAGAGACCTGGGAGCCAGACTCAACTCTTCTGGAAGGGCCATGAAGTGATAACCTGAGTTCTCAACATAATACTCATGAACTAAAGATGAATTGCAATGTGGTAATAAGTATTTTGGATATGAAGAGCCACAAGCCAAGAAAATGGAAGCATATCTTTACAAACCAAGGATATTTTGACAAACCATGCTTGGAATCAGGTCAAGGAATCCCTGACCTGATCCAAGAATGATGAAATTCCAGGAGACGTTACCCCACAACATTCGTTGGTGCTTACCACCAAAGAGGACATTATAGGATTGAGACCAACCCCTGTGTAATTTCCCAGAAATTGGCAGAGCCTGTCTACTCTCAATTTTTTGCAGGACAACAAGACAGAGCCACACAAAGGACGAATCTGTATACCAGAACATCTACCTTGAGCAAGAGGATGCGAGACCACCTCCGAGCTGCCACCTCATGTGAAAGACGAGAAGTCGTATCATCCACAAGACTTTTTCAATGCAAGAAATGAAGACTGAGCATCTGTCAGCACCTTCTGCACCCAAGAAAAGGACAAAAAAGAAAGTGGAAAGAAAATGAGAAAACAGTCATAGCAGACTCTAAACTGACCCAAAGCTGTAAGCATGCAGGCATGGAACAGTACTAATAAAGTCTGCTACTAAAATTTTGTAGGACCAAAGAAAATAGCTTACATAAAATCAATTTAAAGGAAGACTGTTAGGTTTGGCATTTTAAATCTTAGAGCAGCATTTCTTAGTCTGTGGAACCCCAAGGTAACTGGGGGGAGCCACAAGAGAGTAATAAATAGGCTAATTCTAATCATATGTAAATGCATTTTTTTTTAGTCATTTTGGGGTTAAATTGTTCTCCTTTAACCAATATCAAGAGCAATGACAAATCATCTCATTTTAGTTGACAATGAAATGTTTGTTTATCTAATGTATAACTGGAATTTCTTCAAGGCTTCACAGGTTGAGAAACACTGCTTTAGAGGGACCTTGAAAAGATCCTCCAACCTGAAGAGAGGAGAAATCAGGTGTTCTTTGCAAAACCACAAAATATCCCAAGGACCAAAAGAAGCACAGCTACCCGTGTCACCATTACCATACCAACTAGAATCTGCAAGAGACCCACATTCACTTAGGACCCTAAACCAACTGCTAAAGTACTACCTAATAACTTTCAATAATAGGAAAGCAAAACTAGATGTTATTAAGACTTGCAACAGATCACCAGATCCTCTGCCCCTGAACTAGGGGTTTGAAGAAGCCAGGGTGCCAACACACCCAAATAAGGGCCACAAATAACCTAGCCCTGTCAACACTGGAGACGTAGAAAAGTTAAATATGCAAACAATATACAAAAGAAATGCGCACTAGCATTCTAATACATTGTAACCTGTCAGGCGCACAGAATGGTCCAATGCCAACATATGATGCAATGGAAAAATGTACACCAGACACACAAATGTCCAATAACCATAAATGAAGTGGTATAGGTCTCTGAGAACTAAACCACCAACGTACACTACCAACACTGAATAGATACTTTTGTACACGAGTGCATACAGGAACCGATATCTTGCGACTCCTGTTAGCAAGCCAAGAGCATTTACCTGTACTTGTACATTTACCTGTACCTGTACTTCTCATAATTTATGGTAAGCTTTGCCCACTGGCTTGCCCTGGAACATGACCCACCAGTTGGTTCCACCGGGTACCCAATTACTGCTGGGTGAACAGGCACAAACAATTAAGGTCTAGTGCCCAGACACTCCTCCTTGGCCACAACACGAGCTCGGATCAACCGCTCGCAAGGTACAGAGCAAGTGTGTTACCACTATGCCATCTGGGACTAATAGATAAAACAAACCCAAAATATCAGACCTACTTGGCATCACGAAGACCTCTAAATAAACTGCCAACATGCAGACAAAAACACAGACAAGTATATAAAAACACACACACTTGCCCATGAATGCACAGCATGAGATGGATACAGAGACTGACCAACAGATGCACAGAAATGGACACAGTACTCGTCTAGATGTACTTACCTAGATGAGCTTGAAGGGTCGAGCATCGTCTCCGAACATTGCCTTCCAAACATACTTACTGTACTGTAGTTTAATACAATGATTTTGTTACTACACTTTGTCATAATTACATTTAAAATTGTGCACTGGATTAGCTTTAGCACAACACTTGTTTGTCTAACAAATTCTACTTGCTACCTGGAGTGGGTTCCCAGTCTTTCTACTCCAAGCCCAGCCTGGGGCCAAGCTTGATTTGCAATAACTTGCTCCAAAAAGATTGCCTAAACTCTTACTGATATACATGACTTATGTGTCTAGTTTCAACAATGCTCCCTCATTCTGCTATTACTAGCTTTAAACAATACTTTGTCTATTGTGTAATTTCTCAAATAAACTTGTATATCACTATTAATGTCCCCCTATACAGTACTGTACCGTGTTTCTTCCAGCATGGCGAGGTCCAGTTGCCTTAATCTTTCCTCAAAGCTCAGGCTCCTCAGCTCAGCAACAAGTCTTGCTTCACATCTCTGGACCTTTTATTAATTTTGTCATGTGCTTTTTCAGATAGGGGTACTATACTGGGGTTTCATACTTCAGTATATATAATGGATCTCTCATAGGACATATGTAGGGCCCCTGAAGGCACCTTCGTAGAAACGTTTGAAAGCTATGCATACATTGGCCAACTTGGCACATGCTACTGACATTATTCTGCCAATGAGTGCTTCAGGCACTGGATTTGGTTTTATTTACTCCTAGGTCTTTCTCCTTTTCTGATGCAATAATCTATCTCCTCTTCATCCTATCCTGCTGTATAGACCTTTTCAGTTCTGTTCCAAATCCTCATAACTTTACATTTAGCTGGGTTTAAGTCTAGCACCCCTTTTAGACTACTTCAGGAGCAAGTCTAGAACCATTCGCATGGTATCAGAGTCACTGTTATAATTCTTCTCAGTAGTTTTGCATCAACTGCAAACAATAATATAAAGGTGCCAATATCCTGTTAAGTCACTGACTAATACTGGAAATAGTATGGATCTTAATGCCAACCTTTGCAGTAATCTGCTTAGAACCTTTATCATTATTCAACCCTATTTATGCCAATTACAGTTTTAGCGGCTCATTCTTAGTTTTTTCTGGGCTGCTGTACATGATCACAGCCTGTACATTTTAGTAAGTACCTCTCGGCCTTGCAGAGGCATAGTAATTAATCTAAGGATGTGAATAGCTGTTCATCGCTCTTCATGCAAGCATTCAGACGGATTTCCTCTGTTGTCTCAGATAGGCCTTCAATACTCAAAGGTTTCTCTCTCTCTCTCTGGAATATCCTCCTTGTGCACCCTTTCATATTTTGGAAGTTTTATATTTCCAGAGCAAGGTCTATCACTTTTCTCTCGACTACCTTGTTTTTTGTATCTACTCGAGCCCATGTGTTCACAATTTTCTGGAGTGTCTAGTTTATCCTCTAAATTTACCCTTTCTTGCCACTTGTCATTTATATCTAACATCTGTGGGTGGAGTTTTCCATATTTTTTCTCCCAACTTAACTAGTTCTCATTAACATTGCTCGATTAGCTCTACCAATTTTAATCTTCAAGTAAGGAATAATATATTACAATTCTTCCATTTGCACACCACCTAACTCCTCCACTTTTCATCTTTACTTCTTCGTCATTTGTAGTTTACCAGTTGCATGAAATTTCTTAAACGTTCTTAGTCAATTTGATTTCTGAAGCACTATTTTCCTGTTTTACCTTCCAATATATTGAAAATGCTTTGTTTATAGATGATTTTGATGTGTGTGCAAAAATGTGTAGTCTGTCCTATGCATCACAGGAACAAATAGTGTGCGTGCTAGAGAATGAGAGAGCGAGAAAGTGTGTGCAAGAGAGAGCGAGAGAGTGCGCTCTCATGCATACACACACTGTATATATATATATACAGCATATGTATATATAAAGAGATACAGATATGTAAAATTTGTTTTTACAAACACCCTGTGCAATATAAATATATTTTCTAAAGCTTACTTGGATTGGTGGGCAGCTGCTGCATGCCTGAACTTCCCGGAACCACCATGTGTGATGGGTTATTTCCTGCTACGTTGGGTCCAGTTCCTTGTGTCATCATGTTGTTCACTAACTGGAGGTAATTAGTTACAAAAATTAAAATACATTATTAAATTTATTATTAGCTTTCCATCAAAGCCTTCAAGTGTTAAAAATAACTATCACAGCAAATTTTTTAAATTGTAATAATTTATTTGGGTATACTATAGATTTAAAAATGAAAATTTTATAACAAAAACAATCTAGACATTATTGATCACATGATTTGTGCCTGTATCAATATTTGTAAGGCATTTCACTTTGATGCCAGTAAGGCAAGATCACTGAAAGTCCCTTAGCACAACATCCCAATAATCACAGCAGAGTGACATTTTAATAAATGCCCAACCCACACACATGAAGGGAAGGGAACCATCAGGATAAAGCGCCAAGTCATTACGACTATAGAAATGAAAGAGGCGACATTCTGTTCTGTCCCGGATCCTAATCAAGTCGTAAGGTTGTCACTTTCATTTCATACTGTGGGTTAAGCATTTTACTGTACACATAATTCTTATTTATTCTCTATAGCATTTAAAGACATTTGAAAAGATCCTAACTGTACGGGTGCAAAATGAAACCCTTCCCTGTGTTTTGATCCTATCCAGTGGAACCTTTAATTATCTTTACCTGAGAAGCATCCAAATGCCTTGCATGGAAAGCTTTCACATTCACCTAAAACCCGATTGTTCATTATTTTTGCCTAAAATTTGCTCAAGGTTGGTCCAGGTCAAATTTTAGACATTCTATATTCATTTGAAATATTTTAAAGAAGAGAAAATGTCTACCAAGATCTGAGAGCATTGCTAGAGATGGTATTTAATATATTGGTATAAAAGGTGAAAAGACCCAATACTTGTGCAAGAATTTTCAGATGAACCTACAACCTTAATATATTTGCTCCACATTGATAAACCAAGTGCAGTGCTCAAGTTATGATAAAAAAATTTTTTAAATAGGGATGGCAGGAAATCAAATCATTATTTTGACAAATGACAATCTGTACCAGAAAATTTAACTATATTGTAACACTGAAAAACAATTAACAGAAATACTGTATATGTATAGCACAGCCTAAGACCCAAACCGCAGTTTAAAGATTATCTTGCACATAAAACTGCAACCCCATCTTCTTACCTGTCCTTTGCGCGCACTTTGTATAACGCTCTTTATTTTATTAACAAAAGAGAATTGGTCAACGGGAATAAAGCCAACATAAGCTTTCTTCTCGCTCGAAAACAGCAGGATGATCACCTTCACTTCACTCTGAGCTGGAGATGCGTGAGACACGTGAACACATCCAGCCTGCGACAAAAAAATAATAAAAATATCCATGAAATGTATAGGCCTACAACAAATGTAAACAGTTTAACAAAAGGTCTAAACACCTACACTACTTCTATAAAGTTATTTCTTTACATTATTCTCTGCCATGCTACTGGCCAATATTTTATACTGGACTTTTGATTAATTAAAATGAGCACATTTATCTACAAACCATCATTTTGTACATATTTTTTATCTAAATACTGCATATAGAAAGACGGTCTATATGCAAAACCTCCCAATGCAAATTCCCTTTATAAGTTTGCTCCAAAATCTGGACTATGAAATTTCAGACATGATCTCAATTAGTGATATTTTACCCTATTTGACAGTCTATTCAATTTTTTATAGTTTACTACGTTATACAAGACCCAAGAACACCAAACTCCTGTCCCCTTCAGCAATTGCACCAAGCAAAATCCCAAAAGCACAGAGCGGACCACAAGCGGATGGACTGACTCTGTAGCAAACTAAACGTGCTCATCTTTCTGAGTATTTAAATATATAAAAAGATTTTGCTCACATAGTAAATATGCTAAAAAATACAGTACACTAAAATATATTACTTTAATATACCTTTTAGTCTCACAGGCTGATCATAGTTACCCAGTGGCAGCAAATTATTGTTGCTGCCACTGGTTAAAGTCTTTACAAGTACAGTATTACCACCGTTGTGTAACTGCACATTTAAAAATTAAACAAATTTGTAATACTAGCAGTGTACAGAAATTTACTGTCAAAAAAGTTTACTTTACATACAGCAGTATGAACAGAACAAGAACTCCGAATCCATAAAATGCACATTACCATGCCACGAAATAAAAAGTTGGTGAGAATATCCAGCGCAGGACTTTGGTCAGGCAAGAACATAACTGTCTTAACATTCTTGAAGAATGTATTGCCAATAGATCCAAGGATGTGTTTTGGAATCATCTGCATAATAAGTGTCGGTGCCCAACAGTCTGCTTTCCTGTAACACAATTTTGACATTTTGTAGATTATATCATGAAAAATATGCTTATTAGGCTGTACAGTATTAGTGATTTGGTTAAACATTTCCGTTGACAAGTTATCCAGCTTTTCGGCCAAAAAGATAAATAAACATAGTTATTTTCTTACCCCGTACCCAACTAAATAACCGAAATAATTATCAGGGGAAATAAAAAGCTCAGCTATTATGGATTACAGCACATAAAAGGGTTATAGGGCCAGGATATGCGCTAGGATATGAAGGCAGGAGAAGGAACGGTGCCCAACTCCTTCAACTTGTTACTATATCAACCAGTCCAAGTGGTTGGACTAATAGTTTCCAAAGTGTGAACTGTTCAATGCACTAAGAAGTCATACCTAATACAGCCACCCAAGATTCCTGCACAATGATTTACCTTAGCATACATAAATACATTTAGAAGAATAACTGGCAAATGTGTTTAGAATCAGCACAGGGAGGAAGGGGATAGACTAGACTAGAGGTGGGAAAGAGGGCAAGGCTATGATTGCTATATCGACTTGTAGGCTGCAAGCAGAAATAGCCGAGCTTATCAAGTGGTCCCAAGGAAAGCCTGGTTGCAAATGAAGTGTTTTTTCAAAATCTACTCGAACTTCAGGTACACGGAATAAACAATATAAAGGGAGGGGGGATACCTTACATTTAAATGATAGTAATTCACTGTAGAAAATCCATGCACAATAAAAATGGCACTTCATATACAAGGAGGGAATTAAAATGAACGATTAGTTTCGATGACCTGTGCCTATTTGTTCTGGCCTGTTTAATGACCTTACTGCACAGTGTTAAACAAAAGTGAAAAAAATTAAATAAAATATTGAATGCAGTGGTCCTAGGTAAACATTCCTTTACTCTGTGTTACTTACACTTCTGGTTCACCATTCACCACAAGCGAAGTCATTTTGCATGTGACTTGATGTAAAACCTTACTGTTGTTGTCCGTTTTCTTTTCTTGCCACTCTAGTGTGCCTTGCCACACGACAGACCGTTGACTCGGAGGGTTCATTCCTTGCCCCACACCACTTCCTGGTGGCATGGCAGACTGTTGTGGTCCTTGTGTTGGCATGTTTCCGGCTGGATTTACACCGATCATGTTGACTTCATCTGCAAGTAATCGGTCAATCACGGCTACCTCAAGATACATGCTATGTTTTGCAAATTATCATGTTTGTCATCACACATGACTTGTATCCAATTATAAATTTAGGGTTCTGTCAGTGTCTTTTAAGAAAGTTTAGTAGTCTTTGTTCCACACATTGTCAAACTATGCCATGTATATTGTCGTGTATATATTCTATGCCTCTCTGTTTTTAAGACATAGCATATATATGCCATATATACAAACTATGCCTCTATATTTTTAAGAAGCCCAAGTCAAGTTTACTCATGAATATATTTTTAGATTCATACTACTGTATTCTATATTCAGCCTTAAAAACATCGACATGGATAATAAAAACATCGATAAAAAGTGGAAAATTTGAGGTTTTACAAACACAATATTACTACAAAGTCATTTTTTGTCATCATTGGAAAGACCAGACGATAAAAATAAATTTCTATAAACCATATACTGCAGATGAAAATATTATATTATACTATGTTACCTAATAATGTCATTAATTTTATTTTTTAATGACTTCTATTTCATTTAAAAAATAAATTCAAAATATCCTCAGTGCAAATTATAAAGTGTCAAGTTGTGCATTATGGTACACATCTCTATGTACAGTACGTAATCAAATGTCCGCGGCAGCAACTCGCCATGAAAAAACAGAAAAAGGGGTGTTTTGAGGTCTTCAGTTTTCCTGCCCCCCCAAACAATGCAGTGTCATAAATTCACAACAATATCCATTATATAACTTTTGTATATACTTTACTATGACTTATTTAATCTCACTATGTTTTAGGTTTTTATAAGAAAAAAACAAACAAAAAAAACACCCCCACTTCACTAAATCCACATTTTCTATACATCAGTTGGTTAGGTTAAGTGGGTGTCATGGGTTTACATATACACCTGTGAATGAATACAGATGAATGAATGAATGAATACAAATGAATACAGTATTCCTTTTACAATACAGTCCAGTATTTTAATTATGCTTCATATACAGGGCACTTACTTGGTATAGAATTGGGCTGTTTGGATGCCATACCATCAGTCTGTACTGCCTGCTGAGACTGCTGATTAACTATCATGGACTGCATAACGGGTGCTCGCTGACCCATACCACCTTGCCATGGGCCCACACCCTGTACAGGGTTGGTCACAGCAGCAACTGTGTCTGGAAAATTGGTATTGAAATCTAGCAAGGAATGCAGACAAGTCACAATAACTGGGCTGAAACAAATGAGCCAAAACCTACACACACTCGAAGTGAAAGTGACGACGTGTCTGTCCTTCGTGGATCCTTATCAAGTGACAACATTGTCATTTTCCTCTCGTGTGCGTGTTGGGTTACTAGCATAGTAATGGAGGCGGTGAGTCACTATAACGTGGCTGAAGTATGTTGACCAATCCACACACTAGAAAATGAAGGGACAATGACATTTCGATCTGTCCTGGACCATTCTCAAGTCAATTGTGACAATCGACTTGAGAATGGTCCAGGACGGACCGAAACGTCGTCATCCCTTCATTTTCTAGTGTGTGGATTGGTTAGCATAGTAATGTCCGTTTCATTGATGATACAATATCTTCGGCCACGTTACTATGACTCGTCTTCTGCGTCTGTCTCATTCTTTGTATTTAATAAAGGAAATGCATCATTTCTATTTGACTTAATTGTTTAGCCATTGGACATTTAATTACTTAGTGAGATGCTGAAAACAATTTTCCATTACAATTTGTCTAATATGTAACACACAAAACACCATGCTATCAATGAACGAGGTAGTCTTCAGGTGTCCTAAACTCTGGAATGTCGTGAAAATAAAGAACTCGGTAGCCAATGACATTTAATATTTAAATTAAATACTGTAATTAAAAGAAAAACTGATACAAGAATATAATGTATTTTATACCCCACTGTCGGGTTTACAGGAGAACTTGTAACATGGCAGCATGGTTTCCGTGTACAATTTTTTCACAATTATTTCAATTTCAGCAAAGCAAATTAGAAAAACAATTTTGAGTTTCTTACCCCCAGGCCATCTTTGTCGTGGCTGAGTCATCCTGGGCATAGGAATTTGAACACGAGCTACAGGAACAAACAAAATTGGTTGGAGTAGACAAGGACATGTAATGAATCTTCTAAATTACACATACACTATTATGCAAGATACATAACGAACAACTAAATGTCACCAAACTTTAAAACATAATATTTATTCAGTTAAGAATGTTTACCCACTTTAGAAAAATTCTAGACTTAATTCTTCAGTTAAGTTAGCTTCTTGTTGAGACAAAAGGAAAAAACAGGTAAAGCTAGTAAATTGTTATGCAATTGGCACAAGTACTGTAATCTATAAATGCAAACCTTTCAAGCTATAATTCAACTGAATGAAGCTACTTTCCTCCTTATACAGTATTCCCTAAGACTTGATCACTAAAGACCCCACTGGACAGGAGCATGAGAGTCATGGCAGCGTGACATTCTTGGACACTAGTTTTAAAGCAGTTCACACTCGAAGAGTGTCAAACCAGTGTGTGAATGGTCTCTCCCAGTTCCGTCCAATCAAGACGGAATATCCAGTGGATATGTAACATGTTGAACACATGCCAGATGGATCTTTGCATCTACATGGAATCACAAGCAACTTATAGGCATTATGTTGATCCCTTACATTATCACAATGCTCACCCCCTTGCTACAAGCAACCAGATTAAGGAGTTCCATGTTCTCCTTCAAAGTCCTTACATTATACATTTTTATCAGGAAGGGGGAGGGGGGGAGGATTGTTTATGTATATTGCCATCCTAACCCTAACTTAAAAAAAAAAAAGTCTTATTTTTGGCTATTCTTTATTTGGGCTTTCTTTGTTAGTTCTCAAGTGCCAAGAATCCCCGATGCCAGCACACAATTTTTATTTACATCACTTGGAACATAATGGGACTCAAAAGCCAGAAACTGGGCGTTGCCATCTGCTAACTGTTGGGGTAGCAGCCAGCTGGGCACACTGGCAGTCTGCAAATACCAGTGTGACTCCTGGCACCAGTACGACTCTACCGAAATGTGAAAAGACCCGACGTCACCCTTCCCGGACTGTTGTATCATGATCCTATTCAACAATCTTCAGTGATCTGGCTTTACGGAGTATCCAAGAGTCTTGCTTACAAAACAGCTTTCCATAAGCACTCATAAAAAAACAAATTGCATAAATGCAAACATTTTATTTAAGTAAACGTTTTGGCATTTTAACCAGAACACTTAATACACAAAACCCGTACAGTAATAAGAATACAAGAAAAGTCAAGATAGCAAGTAGTAAACTATTGTGATTTTCAGTTTGGAAAACCTAGAATAAAGTGAAAAGTGAAACCAAATGTATAATCCTTGTCATCCATCAATACACATACAGGTTAGTTTGGTTAATAAAGATGATTTACTGAAACTTGCCACTCCCGTCCCCCCTCCATCAACTATAATTTAAAAAAAAACAGAGTTGAATGTAATGAAACGCCAGTCTCTGGGCGAGCTCCAGAGGCTTCCTGAGGATATCCGAACTGACAAAGCTCTATATTAGTTGGGGTCATCAGTCACAGAATCCTTTTGCCAACCAGGGACCATGAGCCAAGACCTGGTCCTCCCTCAGAGAGGCGCAGGTAGCAATGGCCTATAAGCACTTTATATTTAAAGTACGTCATACTTGCCATCGACCAGGGAAGGCACCCAGAAAGGTAGGCGAAACACAGACAACAGTCTGGTGAAAATAGTGACCTACGTCCTGAAAAGAGTAAAAGAACTCTCCCAGAAAGAAAAAACATTTCATTCAACTAGCCCCCCCCTCCTCGCTCATTAGCACCCCCTCTCCTACCCAAGGGGGGAGGAGGAGCCAGCTTAGGTGAGCCTGGCTACCCACCAGCTAGTTCTTGAACAATGAAAACTGCCGACAGGAGGGAGGGAGGGGTCAGGGAGCCAATAAGGTTCCCCACAGAAAGTTCAAGTTTAAATGTTAATGATCAGTGAGAAACCATCAAGCAATTGCTGAACAAAACATATTATGAACCTGCTGGATAGGAAGCATCTTAACACTTTCGCGCTATCTGGACGTGCCGGCGCGTCCCGTTTCGTCTAACGCTAACGCATAGTGGACATAAAGTTGAGTCCTCTTTTAAAATATTTGTATAAAATTCAATTTTTATCCGATTTACTTTGGGTTTGTTTCAAACTGCGCGCTATGAGGCTCTCTTTCTCACCACTAGGCTGCATGGTACAATAAGTTCATGAAAGGTGTGGATAACTTCGATCAAATGGTATTTTGTCCCAAACGGGTTGCAGGTGGGTGACTTTAGCCGTTTATACTGGTAATGCTTCCCACATATCATGTATTATATGCATATGTCTGTTTAGGGAATTTTATTCCGATCAATATACTACCAAAAATAACTGTGTGCAACAAGTATAAACTTGACAAACATAACAAAAGTAAAAACATTTCGTGTGTGTTTGACGCTCACTGATATGTTCCAGCGTTGTTTTATATTTGGCGCTATTCTAACTTACGCTTTGTTGATATTTTTTACCTATGGGCACATAGAACATTCTATTGCGAACACATTGACACAAAAATGAATGACATACATAGAAAATTAATGTCATGAGAGCGAAATAAGTATAAACTTTCAAAGCGCCGTGCGTCGTCCCGTCACCGATACCGGGTAACAATTTCACCACTTCCCACACTCTTGCGGGCGGGCCGCATCATTATTCTACGCTTATATTCATATCACCGTGTTGGGAATTTCATTGCGAGTCCATTGATACCAAAATTAACGCTGTAGAATAAGTGTGGAGGTGATTACAATCCCAAGAGTAAAAACATTTTGTTGCTGATGGGCGCTCACGGCGAGTCATCTTCGTAGTTATTTATTTGGTGCTGGTATCCCTATACGTTTCGTGACTTTTTTTACTGATGTTCTTCTAGAGAATTTTATTGCGAACACGTTGGTCCCAAAATGAAATACGTAGCATGAGAACTAAGGTCAGAGGAGTAAAAAGAGTATACACATTTTTGTTTTTACGCTTAAGCGATAAAAACGCAGCGCGCACATTCGGTTGGCTGAGTGACCTTTGCGGAGAGCGCGAAAGTGTTAAATTTCTTACCAAACGTGAATAATAAAGCATCAACTTACCGGGTACACCATTTGGTTGCTGGTTGGGCATGTTTATGGGCTGAGTAGGAGTTGGGTTAACAACAATCTGTGTAACAGAACCTGGTCTCACCATCTGTAAAGTAATTTGTACATAACATTATTCACAACATAAGACTTCTACTACATGCATCTGTATACGTATTTTACATTAGTCACCCTTCAATAATGCATGCATGGTTATACAAGCATGTGTGATCTTTTGAAGTCCATTTAATAGAGTCCCATAATGCAGCAGCCAAATCAGTCGGCTCACAACCGAGTGATCCCAGGTTAACTTCCCGAGCATGACGAGACACGATTTCCTGCACTTTATTTCTCTGCTTGCCTAGTAATAAATATGTTAAGGAAATGTTATGGGTTACTTTGTGGGAAATGTCCCTTGTTGGCCTAAGAGGAGGTCTGCAAGTAACAGGCTTCCTATCCTGGCCAATGGGAAAACAATATATACTTCACTTCCAAACCTATGCAGTCATAACCTGCTGGAGAAGTCCGTTTTAAAAGGCTAACATAATTAGCCACCAGATAGCAGACTAGATCACTCTGGATGCCAGCCAGCCACCCTCTTAACTGTCTTGCCTAGTGTCAGCCCCTCATTGGTTCTCGTGTTGGAGATCAAACAGGTAAAAGATATGTTTACTGAAATGGGTTTGGGGTTTTTTTCAGTCTGTCCATTACAGTAGCTTATGGGTACCTCATATTTAAGTTTCACTTTGGCTCTGATTTCAGGTCCATCTTCTCAAGTTGTCAGTGAACCACAGATTCTCGGGTTCCTCCACTTCTCTGTCAGGTGGTGTAGTCTGGTGGCACCGGGATGACTTTTTCGAATCGCCCATTCCAGGTCGTGTTTGAAACTGTTGCCCGTGATCACGAGATATTAGTTAGCTGGGTGCTTATGTGTACAGTACTGTGCTTGGTCCCATCTCAGGTATCATTCTGTGCTGCATGTCTTTAGTCAGGCGTTTGCTAGTCACGTTAAGTGATCATCCCATATTTTTACTGTACGGCTCCAAAATGCCCTCTTTTCATCACTAGTTTTGTCGGGCTTCGGTGTTGAGCAGTTCAAAATACTTTTGCCATTTTCAGGTTCACCTATTTACTCATTCCGTTTCCATGTTTGATTCGTTCTGTCCACCCAGTAACCAATTTGTCCTAACAAGTCGATTTTCATGTATCTGGAAGATTGTTTGCAATGCACCTGCTGGATGGGATGCAATAGATTTCCCAACTAGTTCAAAGAGGTACCATACTGCTTGCAGCTTTTCAGGATGTGATTGTGTTTTTTTGTGCAAAAATCAGTAACGTCAAGCTTTGGAGAAAGTTTAACACTGGACAACACAAGTCATCCCGGAACTAAATCCCTCTCATACGACGAGGTTGGAGGCCACAGGACTAACACTGCCCACCAGACATGAGAGGGTTGAACTCTCTTGAAACTTAAAATACTGAACTATTTAGATGTTGATCCACAATACTTCTTTAAAAGGTCAAATGTAATGCATACAAGAAGCAACTGTTTCAAGCTCAAGCTACAATGTAGGATGGAAAACTAGAGATGCTTTTTCAACTATAGAGTTGTAAACTCTTGTAAACACCAACCCACCGAAGCCACAAATGCCAAGACAACACCATTTCAAAAATCTAGCTGGGAGGAATAAAAATAATAATAATAAATAATAAATACTGTAATAATAATTAGGACAAATATAGGGGGACCTTTGACAAGCTGTTGGCTTCCTGTCTCCGTCAAGGCCACGAGAGAAATGACGGCCGTTTGGCAAATTCTGAATTCCCTAATTTGGTCAGCAGTCTTCTCTTCCATAAGAATGCTGTTCATTCAGCCTTAGAACCAGTGCCACTGATTTAACCCTTTTATGTGCATATCAAACGGGAACACTTGCACCATATCTGACCCTACCGTGCGAGTTGGAGATGATTTAGAGTACAGTACCGCATAAAATTTAAAAGTCCCACAAGTACACAAGGCTCGCATATGCTTTTTCAGACCTCCAGTAAACAGACCTTTTGAAGATAATTGTGGGCACCCTTCCTTGGTGCGAGATGCCTCATTGAGAGGGTAACCACAGATAGTATATACTGCAGCAGCTCACTGCACCATCATGCAGCTTGTACCAATAGCATCACTTGATACAGACAAAATAAATATTTGCGATTACTGTGTATCGAGTGTCATAGAAGATCCTGACTGCAACGAAGACTGTACAATGTTTAGACATCAGTGAACACAATGTTGGTTATTTTGTTTATAGTGGGAGGCAAACATTCACCATACAGATGCGGTTTCTTGTATCTACACATCATGAATCAGAACTTTTATGTTTCTTTAGAAATGGAACTTTAAGAAAATTATTCATATTCATGATTTAGTGACAGCAATATGATAACAGGCAGTATTGTAGCTAGAATTTGCAATGTGAATAGTATATTGGAGGCATTTTGCTGTCAGGTGACAGCAGGTGGTGCTATGCCCTGCTTGGATTTCATTCCACACCCACCAGACCTGCTCACAAGTTAATTATGGTGCATAAAAATGTTGATAGATGTGATGTGTATCGTGTAATAACATCAAACACCTTTACTGTTCTAGGCATATGACTGTATGCACATTAGCAACAAGTATTTTTAAGCATTCTGAGTTTCAAACACTTGTATAAATTTCTCACGTCTGGGTTTTTTTCTTTTTTTTTTCCCCTCACTACAGACATTGAAATAAATATCAAAACATATCCTCGCAGCAACTTCTGCATCACGGTGGAGCTGGCCAAACTGCCAGGAGATGAATGCTCACGAATCTCGGAACTGCCGGGCTTCACCATGGCTAAAGTCGGTAACATGCAGTTACCCCCCCCCCCCCTTCCCACTCGTCAGGGAATGAAACAGTAAACAGTTCATTTTAAAATGCAGGGAATGCATTTTAATGGGGGATTTTTTTTTTTTTTTTTTTTTTTTTTTTTTACTTTCCTGCATTCTGAGGGAGGAAGGGGGGATGTAATGTCAACTATAAACAGTTGTGCTGCTGGGGATAAACAGGCCGAAATAAATGAAAGTTTTTAAAAAATATTAAATTATTAATGTTTTAAAAGAATTAAAAATAACACTAGGAATAATATTTTAACTTGCAAGCTAGAAGAAATGTGAATGTGAAGTTATACGCTTTGGCGCACGCACACACACATGTATTAGTTGATTGACAGTTGAGAGGCGGGACCAAAGAGCCAAAGCTCAACCCCCGCAAGCACAATTAGGCGAGTACAATTAGGTGAGTACACACAAAAAAAGGGTTACTTTACTTCGATTCAATGACATTTTATATTGGGCTAGTATCTGGTTTTGAAAGCTATGCATGTAGCACTAGTTTCATCAGTAAGTCTGCTCCTATAATCAGATTTTACGAAGTTCCTCACCGAAAACAATGGCTTGCATAAATGATAAAATTTAATATATTGCTATTGCGAGATTTTCAAATAAAGTTTCAAGAATGGAATTAAAGTTTCTAAACCTTTTTTCTGCAATTTTCAGCATTAATCCAGTAATTAACCCATCAATATTTTCTAGTTCTTCACAAAGAAAAATTTTGCCTCCATGCCGAGCAAATTTGTCAATTACATCTCAAAATTATCCTGGTCAATCCACTGCAACGTTTCTAATGTTACACTGTTCGCACACTTTATGAGTGTGTCTGTCTTTAAATGGCCTTGAATTTAGTAAATCTTAAAGAAAATAGATCAGCAGTTAAATCTATTATGCTAAAAAATTAACTATGAATTTTTAGGATTTTTCTTTTTTTTTAGGTTCAGGAAACATGAACAATGGCACTTATAAACATTACATTTAACAATTTTCTGATTTCAAAAGGCATTTATGTCAAACATAAGTTTTGCCATATCCCATTAATTTAGTGCTGTCATTTAAATTAAAAATCTGTGAAAAACACCAATCTATAAAACCACATGTCGGACAATCTTTAGAGAAAACAAATTTCATCAAAAAACAAATTTTTTCAGGACAAAACCTTCAAGCCAATGAACATTGTTGTATAATAATAGTCGTCTACACCGAATTCACCTCGCTCGGTTAATTCTGAAATTTTCTTTCAAAGCATGCTCATAATATAATTGTGAAAAATATAATTGCAAGAATAATAGAGGGATAGAAGTAAGTAAGTAATTATCAAAAGAAGGCACCAAACCGGGAAGGCTATGTAGCACCATCAAATACGCAAAATAATCAGAGGGCGCTAAATATCACCAAGGATGCCAATACGAGAACAAAAACGCATAAGGCGAACGATATCAAAAGTATCCGGGTAGAGGGATAGAAGCCCTAAACCAGAAGATAGTAAATACAGAATATGCAGTCATATTCAATGAGACATGTTTAAAAGAAAACCTGCTGTCAGTATACACCAATAACATAATTAGCACATCTTTTACAATTTATCACTTCAGTTCAAGACCAGCTTTTGCATGCAAGGCTTCCTCATTAACATATTTTAATTGTTAAATCGAACATATTTTGCAAAAAACTTGATAAAACCTGCTTCGTTATCAGTCATCATGCTGGGTGCACAGTCATTTGTGACATCAGCTATATTTGAAAGGTCAACCTGTTGGTTCGACAATTAGTTTACATACTTCAGTCTTTGTGGTATGCTCTAGTAACATTACCAACTTAACCAGCTCTTCACATATTAATGATAATCTCAAATATATTTATTTACTATAGGTGCAGTTTAAAACAAAATCAAGGGGGTAACACTGTATGCTAGCAAAATGTGCCTGCATGCCAATCTTGGCACAAGTCTCGTATGTTTCCCCACCCTTATTTAGACCCTGAAGATGCCAGTAAAGATTGATGGACAGTCATAGACTGCACTACAATAAGTTACCAGTATTGGGAATTCTATATTAATTGCCAGGTTAATGGCCAAATTATTACAGCCCTAGAGAAATCCATCGGTCATTACAGCCTCAATTGACAACTAATATCCCAGCAGCTTCTACCTTTCACACAAAATTTATTTTCTGACTGCACATGCTTAGAGGGTCCATGGAATCTAGGGAGGCTAGTGGTACAAGTAGGCATTACGGATAAAAGTAGGAAGGACAAAAACCACCGCCTCTCAAATGACTACACATTCTGATTCTCACCCCTACCGATGCTTGAGCAGCTTGTGGAGGGGCAGGAGAACCCACTGACACAGGTCCTGGGGAAGGAGTTGCAGCTCCGGGTCCTAGAGGGTTGGGCGAGGGTCCAGGACCTGCAACTGGTGCCACTGTCACTCCTTGTGAAGGAACTTGTGTGCCAATTACTGCTGGTGGTGTGGCTACATTAGTTGCTGGAGGATAGCCTACCAGAGAAGGACTGAGTGCATGCTCCTGTAGCCTAAAATTGGAAAAAAAATATAAAACAGCAAATAATTAATATGCACTATATTACATTAATTTTTTATTAATACAACAATTTGACTTGTTTATCAAGTATAAAAAAATGTAGTTTGACATAGGATTAGAACAACCCACCACTACATACTGTAAATCCAATCAATCTCACATCCCCTGCATTATAGGAATGGGAAAGACAGGGCTGAAAACCTTTTTTCAGATACTACCCACTAAAGAAAAAAATGATTATTTGGCTATATGTATAGTAAACTTCTTCACTATTATTTGCTTCCTTTCTCTGTACTGAGGCCATGCCACTCCACAGAAGTTGGAAATTGGGCAATGATAATGTGTGGATGGAAAAGGTGTTGTCGGAAATAACAAAAAAGTAAAGATGAATCAGTTCAGAATGGAGAAAATTTAATTTTCCATTTATTTACCCCTACCATTTTGAACTTTTTCTTAGTGATATATACTCCCCTTTTGCATAGTTGTATATGCAAACTGCATTTTGTAATCTATACATCTGTAGTTTTCATGGCACAGTACATTTTGTAAATGTTTTTGTATAATCCCTTTCATATGGCTATTTATAGATTTTCAACAGCTCTTTACACATTTCAACTCGTACAAAACTTTAATGATATCTATTTGGAGACACGTCTAGATGAAAGACTAATTTGTAGATAACATTTCATCTGAAGGGCCGTATCAAACCTAATATACACAGGACTATTACTTACACAGGAGAAAATGGTTTAGGGGCAAGGTCCTGTAGGTTGAGGCCAGTGAGGTGAACACACACGAGAGATTTATGTACAGTACCTGTACAGTATTTAATTTTTTGTTTATGAAGTATTAATTCAGGAAAAAGAGGCAACAGAGTAAAATTTGCCTTCATTATGTTCAATGCAAATAATCTCTGCAGCCATCAAACATTATAACACCACTGTACACAAAAGGAAAATTAAACATTCCTCACCATCTTGGCAAATGAATCAATTATATCTGTAAATGCAGATATAAATTGTATTATGCAAATTTGTATATCTCCCCTGTTTTACCTCACTGATCTCGGCCCACTCTTACCCAGTTTGGCCCCTTTTATAGGCACTCGCCCTGTGTGCATTTGTTACATTTTATGAAAAACCCTTATGGATGATATGATATCTAATATTAAAAGTTTATTCTAATCCTGGGGTTTCCCAACACTTGTCAGAGCATTGCGTTCTACAATACCGTTCGCACTGTGTTCTATGTATGGCTACATATATATGAATAGTGATGGAAATGGGCTAGGTGTATGGCATAAGTCTACGTATCAATTTCTAGGGGTTTTTATGTTTAATTTCTGTACTAATGGAGACATTTATTAGCCATCCTTTGTCAAGTTTCTACCAACTACAACCTAATCATTTCTACCCGACTCCTTTCTTATAATTATGGACTAACCCCTTGTGATTCCAGAATAGAAATCCTGTACAGTATGCCTTAGCCTATACCTAGTTCCCAAAACCCATTTTCATCACTGCATATAACTCAAATATATTCAGCAAGAATTTTCCAAGACTTTCATTATTGCTCAATACTTTTTCCCCATATCCAAAACATTTTTATCATTTTTTTTAGCCTGTAGATAGTACAGCAAGACTAACTGCAAAACAAAGTAATTTGACAGTCAAGTCAAACATGTAAATTTTGGCTACTAACATCAAACTTTACAAATATTTACTAGGAGTTTAATGACAGTATTAGAATGACATAACTTACGTGAACCCATTAAGAAGAACAAGATGTTGAGGCTTGCTTGCATAGTTCTTGTTAGGACTGGCCTGATGATCACCGCCAGCGGCATCAAACAATCTATACAGCTCCACCAGCTTATGGGCCGAGATGACAGATAACTGAATACTCGTCTGAAAGAAGTACCGTAGTCAGAAACTGAACTTATTATTCACTTCTTGCAGTTCGCGTGCACAGCAAGATTGTCCTTCATAAATTCCAAACACTGAAGATAAATTACATTGAGGAAGGGGTGTTATGACATTTAACCCTTGACAAATTAAGCATCAATTTTCTGCTTGCAATAAAAAGTTTCTTTTTGTTTAAACTGATGCCCCAAGCATAGTCAAATGTAAAAAATTGTGTCACTTTTTACAACTGCAGATCATCACTGGAAGCCTCAAATACTGATTAAATTAGATTACTACAAATAAAATAGAATAAGAGACCATGAAAAAAATCCCAAAGCCAAAATACTGATAAAAAAATAATGCTTACCCTTTTGATTTCCAAAAGAACTTTTTCTGGGTTTGTAGGAGACCAGGGATTACTCATAGGAGTGCTCTGCGTTACTAGAACACAACACCGCTGGACATTCTCACTCGTCGAGTAATGCTTTTTCATCGAGTCAAATAGATTAACTGCAGCTTGGAGTCCATCCAGGATAAATGCTTGTCGGGACAAGTTTTTGCATGAATAACTGCAAACAAAATAATACAATAGTACTGTACCATTATTTGTCATGGTCAGGTGTTAATTTCTCATTGGTGCCCATATATTTTTAACACAGTACTACAATACTTTCTCATAAAATTATAAACTGTACTGTGATATCAGACACATTAAAAACTTGAAGACATTACATAACGCAGATACACTGCTTCAAGCCAGTATGACTAGGTTCAAAAGAAATGAAGAAAGAATAGCCAGGCAGTACAATTTTTGAACTGGAACATCACACGTAGCAAATTTGCCATTATGATAAGGAATTTCTGTGCCCCTTGGAAAGAACAATGGACACACTGCATCCACCCAGATTTAAAAAAAAACTAGTTCCTCAAGTTGAAAATGAGGGGACAGGCAGACTGCAGTTAAGTATTTCCTATCAAACGGGTATATGTGAGCAACGATCCGAGGCAATGAATCAAATCGGAGGAGACAAGTGGAGTTGTGCATGGTTTGGTACTCGCGAAGAAATTGTAATTATTTTCATAAATGATCTTCCTGGAGGGATACAGAGCTACATGAACATTTTTGAGGATAATACTGAACTACTAATAAGAATTAGACTTAGATGACTACACTGCCCTTTAAAATGACCTAGATCAAATAAGCACATGAGGGCAATATTTGGCAAATGAATTTCAATGTGCATAAATGACATTAACTGGCATGCGGAATAAGTGAAAACAGGAGATGTGCATCTTACAAGTTATGTGAAGACACTAGAGAACTCGCAAGGAAAAGCAATCTAGAAATGTTACTGTATAGTAGATCAGTCACTGGAGGATTACATAAAGGGCAATCGGAGGACCCTATAGTACAATGGCCAATGTATATAATGTATATAAATAGTGGTACTGTATTTATATACATAGTACAGGTACATGTACAAGAATGGAAAAATGTTAAGCCAAAATATTCCCAACATACACAAGACAAAATTAAAATATGCAGCAGTTACATGGAGGCCGAAACATGCATAGCGTGTGGCACTCCATACAACTGCTGCATAATCTAGTTTACGTCTCGTGTATGTTATGAGTTTTGTATATTAGATAGCTACCTACCCTGGCTTTGCGCCCCGGAGAAGCCACTCCTGACCGACAACCAGAATGCAACTCCATAGTCTCTCGAGACTGATGGATCCCTATTACTATTAGATAGCTTCATAATGGGCAAGGCTTATGATTAATACAGAGTGAAGTACTGTACTGTACATGATCCTGTCTCCCATTTTTTTTAATCTTAATATAGTACTACAATAGACTTGCATCATAATTGCTAAATTTTGTACATTATTATTTTACCCTGCATGGTTTATCACCTAAGATACTTTCAGCACCTTTTAACTAAACTTGACAGTGCAGTGAAACTAAAATGAATGGATAAACAAATGTTTAACTTACCGAGCATTTTTTATCGAATTTACAATTTCAGTTTCTGAGCAGGTGGGACCAAAGCATTCTACCTGGCCCCATGACCCAACTAGTGAAAGTTCTGTTCCATAGAAGACAGCTGCATACTGGACAACACTACTCTGTAAATTAAAACATTCATTATTGTTAGGAAAGTATCAAGTTACTGTAATTGCAAATGAGACTTAAAAGCCTTGTAACATAAGGCATTCAGTTGCATTTGGAGTTCGCATGTTAGAATGTAAGCTTAAGTGAATGGTTAAATATTTACAAGATAACATTTGCATATATTTACAAGATAACATTCGCATTTATAGTATATAAAAAATGGCCACAGGCATTATACAACCCATCCAACTACACATCCCTTGCAATAAATGCAAGGAAGACTGGCCTGGGGACCCATTTTCAACATCTCACAAGATGCAGAACTAGGCAAGTTTTAAATAAAAAAACTTGCCTAGTTGTAATTTTTTTTTTAACCTGCCAGCTATACAAGCCATTTTAAGTTATCTAATGTACCCAAGATTAATCTAAAATAAAAATTTAATATAAATATTTAGTACTGTAATTTATTTGCCAGCAGTTTAGCTGTTTTAACAATAGCAATGCTTGCAAGACAATATTTTTTAATGTGAATGCCTAATTAGGTTATGTTTTATTTGATTAGGATTTAAAAGGTTACCTTATGTCCAAATTTACACAATTTAATTTTTTCAAGGACTGACATGCACAATATTAATGTATGAAGTGTGAAAAAATATGAAAACAAAACAATCTATACCGCACAGCCAAATGCTGTACAGCAACTTTGCAAAGGCAGAGCACTTAAGTGAAATAAAAAAAATTACTGCTCAGAAATTGTAATTTTGGCAAAACTAGAATCGAGTAAAACAGTTAAAAAGGCAAGGACCATAAGGCATTTAACTATGTGAAGATTTAACGAAGGATATGAAAGGAAATTAGCGTATGGAAAGAATATGATTGTTCATGGACAAAAGAAATTACTTCTCATTCTGGCAAGTTCAGCCACCCATCACAGCGGAAAGTAATGAAATGCACATCAATATCAAGTCTAAGTGAAGAAATTTGGCTCTAACATTTCATAAATAAAACAAGTACATAGGTATACTAGAAATTACCTGTGTGAAGAAAACATCCGATTCCTCGGATAAGCCACCTCCAAAGAGCCTGAAATTAAAAATTAGAAAAGAATAAGTAATTTTCAAACACACGAATACAGCCAAAAGGAAATGTCACGAAGCTTCAAGCAAAGGTTAATACTAACAAACTGAAGTGCAGTTTCTTCAGACGAGATACCATTTTTTTATGAAGGCATTTCTCCCACTTCAATAACAAAAGTAATATTTATATAATAAATTTTTATTTTTATTTATTTAGCCATCTTACACCTCCGGCATTTTAATTTTAATTATAATAAATATTATGCTACAAAATAAATGATGTCCATACTTTATGCCATGACATTCAGTTGCCTAACATATTGGATATAGGACCATGGGGACACTGTACTACAGAGCTTAAAGACATGTACAGTATCTGTTAGTTACTTTATTCTCACTATAATCTTGATGGGGAAAATTAATAATTCATACACATTTCAACTTATCATCAAGATGTACAGTATTTGCATTCCTGTATTGTGTAGTACTGTATGTATGTGCGTATGTACTTGCCTAATTGTGCTTGGGGGGTTGAGCTTTGGCTCTTTGGTCCCGCCTCTTAACTGTCAATCAACTGGTGTACAGATTCCTGAGCCTACTGGGCTCTATCATATCTACATTTGAAACTGTGTATGAAGTCAGCCTCCACCGCATCACTGCCTAATGCATTCCACCTGTTAACTACTCTGACACTGAAAAAGTTCCTTCTAACGTCCCTGTGGCTCGTGTGGGTACTCAGTTTCCAGCAGTGTCCTTGTTCGCGTCCCACCAGTGTTGAATAGTTTATCCTTGTCTACCCTGTCGATTTCCCTGAGGATTTTGTAGGTAGTGATCATGTCTCCCCCTTACTCTTCTGTCTTCCAGTGTTTTAAGGTGCATTTCCTGCAGCCTTTCCTCGTAACTCATGCCTCTTAGTTCTGGGACTAGTCTAGTGGCATACCTCTGAACTTTTTCCAGCTTTGTCTTGTGCTTGACAAGGTACGGGCTCCATGCTGGGGCCGCATATTCCAGGATTGGTCTTACATATGTGGTGTACAAGATTCTGAATGATTCCTTACACAGATTCCTGAAGGCTGTTCTGATGTTTGCCAGCCTCGCATATGCCACAGACGTAATTCTTTTTAAGTGGGCTACATGTAGTTGGCTACAAAATCTGGCACAACCCATCAGCTTGAAACACCACCACTGATGGTGTTTCATCAGTGATGGATGATTTCTATTATCAAATGTGTGTGCGTGCGTGTGCGTGCGTGCGTGTGTGTGTGTATGTGTGTATATTCAGCTGGAAAATGGCACAGTTTCTTCACATTTACAACCCCTTAACAGTTACCAAACTCCCGGGTAGCCATTTACTATTGTGTGAACCGAGGCTCAACGTGAAAAGAAAACGTGCCTAACCATTCCAGTCCCGCTAAGAATCGAACCCAGGATTGTAGTTTGAGAGTAGAGGACAAAGCCAACCGTACTAAGAGACCCCAAGCATCCTACGAGAGCTAATGAAGATTACAGAAGCAGATCATTCAGAGAGAAAAAACCTGTTAACCCTCCTTTAACTCATCTTTTCCTTAACTATTTCTCACAATAAGATCCAAGAGCTACTTACGTTACCGTCGGGGAAATGTAAGCCTCCAGGAGCTCTGGCAAGTACCGCTTCATACAGGCGCTCTTCTCCACCACGAAGACCACATCTTGTCTATCGTAGTTCATCATCTTGATTATCAAACGTATCCCCACTGGTTATGCCGCCCTTATGCCTTAGTGGCCGCCTTGTGACTTAATATTTACCCGGACACCGCGTCCACACATCCTCCTTCCTCACTGTCAAGCTTTGTTGTGGTTCGCCTCGTCCAAGACAGGGATGCCAGGTGCAAATTGCTGAAAGTAGTAAGATGACGGTCAAAAGTAGCGAATTTGTAATAAGAGTAGCCCAATATATATATATTTTTTTTTAACCTAAAATGGGTACCACCTCTGGTGCAAGTGTAGGGACCCATAGCCTCGGAGAAGAATATACACCCACCAAAAAAAGTTTCAAAAACTGTGGGCATTCTTTCTAAGATCAGATATTATGTACCACGCCCTGCCCTGGTGACTCTCTATTACTCCCTTATCTATCCTTATCTCAACTATGGTATTTGTGCTTGGGGTTCTACTACCCAAAATCACTTACGTCCTCTAATTACCCAACACAAAGCTGCTATTAGAACAATATCCAACTCTGGCCCCAGACATCACTCGGTACCCCAACTCAAATCTCTGAATATGTTAGATATTAAGTCACTGCACATTCTCTCATGTGTATTATACATATATAAAACGCTAAACTATAATGCCAATCCTGATCTTAAAAGCTTCATAGAAGGTTGTAACAGAACCCATGAGCACCACACCAGAAATAAATACAGTTTTGATATTCCTAGAGTACGTCTTAATCAAACTAGAAATGCTCTGCAAATCAAGGGGCCCAGAATGTGGAATGACCTTCCCAACCATGTTAAAGACTGTACCTCTCTCAACCAGTTTAAGATAAAAACTAAACACTACCTAATAAATTCCCTGTAATCTACCTCACTCCTCTATTGTCAACCCATGTCTGTTATTTTCTTCTTTTTTTTTTTAATCAACACTGTTTGTCAACCTATTGTATTTGTGCTGCTTTTTCAGTCACGTTCCCCCTTTTTTTATCTTTATTTGTATTTGTTCTCAACACTTTTTATTCTTTATGCTCAATTAGTATTAAGGGGGCGATAGTTAGGGTTCATAAAAGTTGTTCTAGTGCAATGAAAATTTATTGACGTGTTACACGTGAAGAGGGCTGCAAGTGGTCCAAGTTTCAGCATCGCAGCCTAAATAGAGAGGGAGAAAAAAAAAAAAAACTTTTTTTAACCATTTTTTTACATGTTTTAAAGTTGATATAACAAATACAAATATCAACTGATATTATTTCTATGATACTCAGCTATCACAATACTATATAATAAAGGTTGTCTAGTGGCATTATTATCCCAAACCTATTTAGTGCAATAATACAAATTTTCAAAGTTCACCCAAAAAATTATGCAACAAAATGATGTTTATAAATATATATAAAATCAATAAATGATCTTAGGGGAAATATATAACTTGAGTTTTTAGAGGCACAGACTCTACATATAATGTGCAAGTTCCATGTAAATTGAATAATAAATAAAAAAGTTATTCAACCATATAGTTGCAAATTAGTTACCTGTAAAAAATGAAGGTCAAAGTTCAGCCACCTTTGGCTGAGGTTGATGAACTACCAATTTCAATCAAAATTACCACCCTTGTAGATTGGCATTCCTTCAGTAAGGTGTGTAAGTTCCATGAAGATTGCCTGATAAAAAAAAAAAAAAAAAAAATTATTAAAAAAAAAAATTAAAAAAAAAAATAAAAAAAATAAAAAAAAAGACAGCAGCTTTATATTTACAATTATTTATGATATAGTATCAAGATATAAAACATAATACATACTAACCTAATATAATTGGTCTGAAATATGCAACATCTTGCAACATCAAGAGGGAGAACGTCTTGAGTTGCAGGTCTAAGATCTTGAGTGGCAGGTGCCGCAGGTGGTGTGGCAGGTGCCGCAGGTGGTGTGGCATGTGCAGCAGGAGGTGTGGCAGGTGCCACAGAGGTGTGGCAGGTGCCACAGGAGGTGTGGGTGCCTGGGTGTGAGGCGAGGTAGTGTGTTGTGGGGGCGGGAGGCTGCCCTCTCTCTTCACTCAAGGGAACTCTTGTTTTGCCTCAGTGTGGCTTTACGCTCCTTCTTTACTTGGCTAACGCGTAGAGCTCTTGCCTTTAGAGCTTTCTTCTTGTCCGATACTATATCCATTGTGCAGTATATGCAAGAAAATACGATCTGTGCGAGCGCGTCAGGCATGCGACCGCCGGCACAGACACTGAGAGGGTGACTAAGCCAGTAAATCGGATTATAGCCCCTCCCTCTCACAGAAGACAGTTGCCAGCGAGTGTGTTTATAATTTGTATATGCATAACAAGATATTCTCCACTCTATTGCGAAATACTAGACGCTTACAACGTATGACGCATCACCCTACGGCGCACCCGAGCCGCGAGGACCAGATTTCGGGCAATTGCGGCTGGAAAATTTGCTCTAATTACGTTATTTATTATCATAACATTAAACGGTTTGCACCACGGTGTTGCCAGAACGTTGTAGTATTTTTATAAATTTTTCGTGTTTGGCCGAATTTTTTCGGCCAAACAATTATAACGCCCTCTTAAGTTCTAGATATTTATGTTTTTCTTGCCCGAAACGCATTGCGTAATAGTGGCTTTAGGCATTGTATGTACTAGCTCTATCTATATATCAATCCATTAATGTAACATCACTTGTATGTATATACCTTAACTGAATAAACATCTGAATCTGAATCTGAATCTAAAGAGTAACCCAGAGAAGATCTTGTGGATCCTCACTGGACATTTTGATATTTTCTTCTCCTACCACCACTATTCTTTTTGTGTGTGTATATATATATATCTAACTTTATTTTAAAATTTCATTACACAAAGAGGGTGATGCACAACTTGAAGCCGAAGTGACAGTCCCGGTGCCCTACCTGTTGTGTAACCGGAGCCCGACCAGTTGTGTAACCGGACCCAGACCAGTTGGGTAACTGGACCCCAATCAGTTGTGTAAACGGACCCCGACCAGTTGTACAACCATAAGCCTATAGCAAGTATACATCTCATCCAACCCCCACCAAGCTAAACAGTCCCAGAGCACGACCAAACTCCCTTCCTAGCTCGACCAAACAAAAATATTCTTAGCCCTACCTAAAACCCTCCACTTGCCCTAGAAACCAACTACGGAACCATAGCAAATAATTGAACAATATACAAAAAAAAGAAACCCAAATTTCTAGCAAACAAACAGAGCCCTTGCAAGCAAACCTGGAGCACTAGTACACAAACAACCACTGGAGCACAAATATGTACGAACCGGAGCACAACCAAGTATGAACCAGAGCACAACCATACACAACCCAAAGCCCAACAAGTCACACCCCTGGAGTTATGTAATCAGAACCCGACAAACCAAGACCCCACCCCCAAGCCCTACCAAGACCCCACCCCCAAGCCCTACCAAGACCCCACCCCCAAGCCCTACCAAGACCCACCCCCAACCCAAGACCCCACCCCCAAGCCCTACCAAGACCCCACCCCCAAGCCCTACCAAGACCCCACCCCAAGCCCTACCAAGAACCCACCCCCAAGCCCTACCAAGACCCCACCCCCAAGCCCTACCAAGACCCCACCCCCAAGCCCTACCAAGACCCCACCCCCAAGCCCTACCCAGACCCCAGAGCCCCCAAGACCCCACCCCAAGCCCCCAAGACCCCACCCCCAAGCCCTACCAGAGACCCCCACCCCCCAAGCCCTACCAAGACCCCACCCCCAAGCCCTACCAAGAGCCCTACCACCCCCAAGCCCTACCAAGAACCCACCCCCAAGCCCTACCACCCCCAGCCCTACCAAGAAACCACCCCCAAGCCCTACCAAGACCCCACCCCCAAGCCCTACCAAGAACCCACCCCCAAGCCCTACCAAGAACCCACCCCCAAGCCCTACCAAGAACCCACCCCCAAGCCCTACCAAGAACCCACCCGAAGCCGGACAGACACCCTCCTGGAGCCCGAACAGTCACCCACCCGGAGCCCGACCAGTCAAACACCCGGAGCCCGCCAGTTTAGTAAACCGGAGCCCGCCAGTTGAGTGAACCGGAGCCCGCCAGTTGAGTGAACTGGAACCCGTCAGTTGAGTACCTGGAGCCCGCCCCGAGCCCTACCGAGAACCCACCCTGAGCCTACCAAGAACCTACCCCGAGCCCTACAGAGGTTCCCCAAGCCCGAGAGCCTATTCCGATCCCGAAAGAGCCCACCCCCGAGCCCTACCGAGAACCCACCCCCCCCAAGCCCTACCAAGAACCCATCCCCCCCAAGCCCTACCGAGAACCCAGCCCCAAGCCCTACCAAGAACCCACCCCCAAATAAGAACCCAGCCCTATACCTACCAAGAACCCACCCCAAGCCCTACCAAGAACCCACCCGAAGCCGGACAGACACCCACCTGGAGCCCGAACAGTCACCCACCCGGAGCCCGACCAGTCAAACACCCGGAGCCCGCCAGTTTAGTAAACCGGAGCCCGCCAGTTGAGTGAACCGGAGCCCGCCAGTTGAGTGAACTGGAACCCGTCAGTTGAGTACCTGGAGCCCCGCCCTACCCCCGAGCCCTACCGAGAACCCACCCTGAGCCCGACCAAGAACCTACCCTGAGCCCTAGCCCTACCAGAACCCACCCCAAGCCCGAGAGCCCACCCGAGCCCGAAAGAACCCACCCCGAGCCCTACCGAGAACCCCCCCCCCAAGCCCTACCGAGAACCCAGAACCCCCCCAAGCCCTACCGAGAACCCACCCCCCAAGCCCTACCGAGAACCCACCCCCCAAGCCCTACCGAGAACCCACCCCCCCAAGCCCTACCAAGAACCCACCCCCAAAGCCCTACCAAGAACCCACCCCCAAGCCCTACCAAGAACCCACCCCCAAGCCCTACCGAGAACCCAGCCCAAAGCCCTACCGAGAACCCAGCCCCAATACCTACCAAGAACCCACCCCAAGCCCTACCAAGAACCCACCCGAAGCCGGACAGACACCCACCTGGAGCCCGAACAGTCACCCACCCGGAGCCCGACCAGTCAAACACCCGGAGCCCGCCAGTTTAGTAAACCGGAGCCCGCCAGTTGAGTGAACCGGAGCCCGCCAGTTGAGTGAACTGGAACCCGTCAGTTGAGTACCTGGAGCCTGCCCCGAGCCCTACCGAGAACCCAC